CGCACCGGTCTCTATATGGGATCCAAACCCTCGGCGGGAGCGCCGCCACACTCCCAAGCGCCGCACTCTACCAAGTGTGCCACCGGGCTGGCCCATCAAACAGAATTTTGCCCAAGCTCAAGTAAGCCTGTTCTCATACCAGCTTTTCAGTGACGGCCTTCTTGTAGTGTGATTTCTCTCTGTCCTCCACTCCAGGACCCCCCCTTTCTAGGACCCACATACTTTTGCAAACCCTCAGATCTCAGCCCCAGCTCTTAGCCAACTGGCACCTGAGGTTCCTAGTATTTGCCATCTTACTTCAAGGTGCTTGTTACCTGGAGTTTGGCCCTTTACCAATCAACAAACCTCTTCCCCTGATGTCTACTCCATCCTAGGCCCCTCTGACCAACCCTACTCCCTGGCCAGGTCCCCTGACGGAGGTTAGACTTATCAGCTCCCTTGAACTACAGTTGTCACTAAAACTCTATTACTGGGTATTAAAAGGCAGGAACAGGTCTCGTTACACACACTCCTCAAAACTTAGCACAATACTGTCAATAAATGATATTCAAACACTTGCTGAATGAGAAGTAAGATTCCTCAATCATGCTTTCATTTGCCTGGCTTCATTTTTTAATCACAATTTTTTAACAATAATTTACAAAACAAGTCACAGAAAGTGAAGCTGAGTGCCCAGTCTGGTTCTGTGGCACTGCCTGTTGCTCCTCCTCTTCCTCAGCACACAGCCAGTGTGCACCTCCCAGGCCCGTGTGCAGCTGGATGCCACGTGTTCACAATGGAAGGAACTCCAGCAGCCTGCTGAGTCCCTAGATAACTGCTGTGAAGAGAGCCCCCATTCCCCTAAAAACATCTACACACACAAACTCCAAGAGCAACCACCTGGAACCTCCTTACATTGTCAGGGGACTTAGAAATAAACTTCTATGGGAGGTCATTACCTGTTCGGATCTATTTGTCATTGCAGCAAAGCATACCCTAACCATTCCAGAATCAACCAAAATTAAGTATGACTTCCTTTCTTCTCCTACCTTTCCTAATCAGAAGTCATACCAAAAAGTCCTGTAGAACTTACAAGTTATAGACTTTGCAGCAAAGCATACCCTAACCATTCCAGAATCAACCAAAATCAAGTATGACTTCCTTTCTTCTCCTACCTTTCCTAATCAGAAGTCATACCAAAAAGTCCTCTAGAACTTACAAGTTATAGACCTAAATGGACAAGTTGAAGGCAGAAAGTGCCTAGAATTTCTGGAGGGAAAGATTATTATTAAATAGTTGCTTTAAAAAAAAATCCAGGCTGGCCCCGTGGCTCACTCGGGAGAGAGCGGTGCTGGTAGCACCTAGGCCACGGGTTCGAATCCTATATAGGGATGGCCGGTGTGCTCACTGGCTGAGCGTGGTGTAGACAACACCGTGCTGAGGCTTGCAATCCCCTTACCGGTCAAAAAAAAAAATCAGGTTAAATCTCTAATAAAAAGTACCTACCTGACTGGAGAAACTGCTCATAATACCACACCTAACTTTAATGAAGATCCAGAGGGCAGCTTTGCTATCTAGATCATGTACTGAATCACTCAAGTCAGGAAGTACATCACCGTAACAAAACCAACCTGTACACCTGAGATACATGTAACAATTCTTTGTCTAAGTGTTTAATGTGTTTTATACAAATTACTTTTAATATTTTATTATGTTATATTACTATGTTAGCAATTATTTGTCTAAGTATGTATTTAATATATCTTCCACCCCTAGACTAAAAGCTCTTTGGTCTAGCGGGAGGGAGGAGGGAGGCACTTGCTTATTTCCAACACATACTGCTTCATAAACAGCTGTTGATTAAGTGAACAAATGTACAACTACAGCACTTCCTTCTAGAGTTTAGGCTGTCTTCCCCAGCTTTGAAGCTCTAAACTATCTTAGAACTCCTAAGTGCTTTGTAGCTCTTGCAGTTCTTTCCTATATTCTCATTTGATCCTCACAGCAATCCTATGACTGTGCCACAATTAAACTGGGGCTCAGAGAAGACTCGTCTGAAGCCACAGCACAGCTCATAAATGATGGCGCCGGCCCAGCACCTGAGGTCTTCTGACTCCCCACGTCCAGTGTGCTTCCCACTGTGACTACTAGCCCTTCTATATGCAGAAAGCCTTAAAGCTGCACCAAAAACCTCAAGTTTAATGTCTATATCACTTCTTTATCATTGTGAAATGTCAAAACTAAATAAATTTAATAACAAACTGTTTAGAAAAATGTAATTATAAGGAAAATATCACTAAATACTGTAGACACAAAATGGAAAAACTTCAAAACATTTTGTCCCTGCTAGCTCTGAAAGAAACAAACAGAAAGAAAACATACTGCTGCTCATTCCCAGCCCCACATCCTGCTTCCCTATAAACCCAGAAGGTCCAAGACAGGAGGCTCAGTCTTCCCTAGATCCTCACACCCTGAAATGCCTACTATTCCCTTGGAGATAGCACTCATTTCTTACAGCAAGCAAGCAAGCCTGGGTTGGGCATTTCACTCTACTGTATATGTTTCCCACAAAGAAAGGAAGGAAAGGGTAAAGAAAAAACAGGAAGCAAAATTACTACTGTCTAGAATGTAATATATTTTTACATATATATTTGAAAGGTTTTTTCCTACTGTCAATTAGCTCCACAGCCACTTTTAAGTATCTACTATGTCCCAGATTCATTATAAACTCCATGAGGGCTTTCTCTTGTGGTATTCTTGGTGTTAAATGCTACTTTAGACATTGAGGATACGAAAATAAATAAGCCTGACCATAAGGCGGCTACCAAAACAAACACAAATTGCTAAATATAGGGCAATGTAAGTGCTACATAACTGCATGCATGAAATGCTATGGTAGTAAAGAAAAGCGGATAAAGTCAGGAATGTTGCAAAAGGCTTTATGAAGAGCTCAACCTTGAAAGATGAATGGGATTCGGTTACACAGAAGAAACAGAACCTGTAAAAACACAGACGCATAACAAAGCGTTGGTGTGGCAGAAAAGGTGGACTTTCTCAGAGCAAGAGGTTCACTGCCAAGGAGTGATGGGAGACAAGGCTGGTAAAGGAAGCTGGAGCCACAGACCACAAAGGTCCTTACACATAACGCTAAAGAAATTGGACTTCATCATGTAGGCAATTTAGGGCAACATCCAGTTTTTAATCAGGGTCATTACACAAGCAAATATACACTTTAGAACAGTAATTCGGGAGGTGGAGTGCAAGAGAAACATGGAGATTGTCAGGAAAACAAGTCAGAAAGTCATTGTAATGAGAGTTGGTGAAGGCCTGAGAGCAGCAGAAATTGGGCAGAGGAGACAGGTGAATATCAACAAGGCTTTTTTAACAAGACTGGAAGAGAAAGATAAAAGAGAAAAAGCAGCAAGAATAACTGATATTTCTAACAGAACACTGAGAGAGATAATGTCATTAACCATGCTAAGGAGTAAAGGAGAAATAGTATCTTTGTTTTAACCACATTTTCCTGGAATGAGGGGGAGGCCTAAAGTTTCAGTTTTGAAAATTGTTTTGTTTAAAAGGTATCTTTGGAATACCAGGTTAAGCTCTAGGAGGTACTCTGAAATTAGACATTGGTCCTCAAAAGACATGTGAATGACAGTTTTAGATATAAGATTTAAGATGCTTTAGTGATAAATTCCTAGGAGTGGGTAACTTCACAGCCAGTTGCAAGCAAGGACAATCCAAATTCAGTTTCCAAGTAAAATCAGCCTAGGAGGAAGAGAGGGATATGGTAAGCAGAGAAAAGATGTTGGCAACAAATCTGAAATTAGAATTCTAAGTCTAATACAAACATTTTGGTGTCCACACAAACTCACAAATCACAAAACATGTCAAATGGTCAGTATACCAATGACCACAGCTGAATGTTAAATAACCACTGAAACACAACATGAGAAAAAGGAAAGACAGCCAGGTAGCAAGTCATGATGCCAATGAC